TGACCCTGACACGACCCCGTTGCAGCGACCAGCGCAAAACGATGGTCTCTGATTCAGAAGCCGCTCCACTTTCGCCGGATGGCATCGCATCAAGGCGGCAATGTTCGCTTACGCATCCTCATCCTTTCAAAACCCGATTGCCGGATCCTTGACTCTACCTGACGGCCGCCGGAAAACGCGAGCACGAGATCGCGAGATCGCACGCGGACATGCGGAGAACACGAGAATAGACACGGACCTCATCATTCAACGCGAGGTTTTGTGATATTATCCGCTTCATAACCTACATGGCAAACACACCCGAGGCGCGCAGACGCCACTGCCCGATGCTCGGGGTAGGGAGAGGAGAGGAGGTAGGGGGAGGGAGGAGAGGAGGTACGGAAAGAAGAAGAGGAGGTAGGTATGGGAGAGGAGAAAAGGAGTTACGGAGAGGAGGAGGGGAGGTATGGAGAGGAGCCCAGTACCCTGCTGCTGGATCTGGAGCCCGTGTTAAATTTTGGTCCCGATTTTAAATCGCTCGAGCGGCTCAAGATTGGTAGCCCTCCCTAAACATAAAGCATTATCGGAACATCGACACCGCGGCCAGAAGTGGTCTGAACTATGAGGCTTTTCTGACTCCGGTTGTGTCAGCGGAATGCTTCTGAGGGCTTTTGGCATCCATGCGGGGTTCAAAACATGGCCAGCCGCGATGAGCTACTCCACCCTTCTTGACGAAATTCGATGCTTTTCGTGAGGTTCAACCTCACGTGGTGTCGCCAATAAGGGAACAAACGATGGCTATCTTTCGTCATCTGTTAGGCTTATGTATAAGTACTTTTTTGTTGTATAGAAGTATTGTGCACAATACGGTTACGCGATAGATATCGATAATCTAATTTGTTCTTTTAGAATGTGGCGTCTTATGTGTCAGTATATGTGTGTATCCATATCGCTACTTGTGCCATCGTTCGGAAACTTGTCCTGATTTCATTCCATGAAAAACGGCCATTTACCTAGCAATACGGTGAACAAGTATTCCGGGCTCAAAAAGTGAGGAAAATAGCAAGGAAATAGGAAGGCTGTGTTGGGTTGGATTATTTTTGTAGGTACATAATTCAGCTTGAGTCCTATTTTAATTCCGTTCATAGATGTTCTTGATTATCTTACGATGCAAAGAAATAATTAGCATTGGCATTTCCAGTCGCAGGTGACCGATTATTGCACTGAGAGCGTACGTGATCTTCGCCCCCGTACTTCAGTTCGTCGGCACCTAAGCCAACGCATAAGGCTCGACTTGGAGCAGCGCGTGTCCGGTTGATCTCATGCATGTGAGTAAGGCCGGATGTTGTGGACGTTTCTCGCAGGCCGCATGCATAAATAGCTGTGCTAGTGAGCCGAGTCACCAAATATAGGTCGAGTGGTGCAGGCCGGTTGTGCACCAAGCTATACGGGTTTCCAGTGCAAATGCAGGGATCAGCGTCCGGGGCATTGGTCAATGATATGATCAATGATCGCGGGGATGATCAATGGTGGTTCCAGGCATGATGAATGATCAGACCTACAATTATTTAACAAACACCCATGGTTAACGCATCTGATGCTGAAACTGCTATCAGCAGCTTCCGGTGCTGAGTTTATTATTAGCTACACCATGCTATGTTATGTTGACGTTGCGTTCCTTGTCGCGTTGACTGTGCATGATGTACGCACAGGAAGAGGCACAAACGGGACAGGGAGAGAGGGGGCAAGAAGAAGGCCAGAGAGAGCGAGACAGGCAGAGTAAGAGAAAGGATAGGCAGGAAAGGGAATGATCGATGTTGCGGTTTCTTCCGCGGTGTCTCAACTGACTGGAGGGCCCGTATCGCATTCGTCCACATCATAACTAAACATGATGCGGAGAGCTCTCACTGGCCAGAAGTATCGTCTTCCATAACCGTGATTTCCTGGGCGGCCACCGGCGTTGACACGATATGTGGCTGCGTACCAGTGACTCCGCCCGCAGCTTTGTTTTGTAAATTCTGTGGTGGAATACCCATAGGATAACTCCTTCAATAAGGGCCACGTGTCATTTCCAGCATCGAATGCCGCGCAGTTCAATGCAGTGCAATTGATGTAATGCATTGAAAGGCCGATGATCCGATCTCCGGATGTCATGAACCACGAGCATGGCATTCAGCGCACGCTGGATTTCAAGTGGGGAGTTTCGCGACACGGGTCGATAAGGACTTACCAATGCGCGATAGAATACACGGAAGCATCAACGGTGTCCGTCTACGACGGGCGCGAGCGAGGACCGCAAACCAAACCACCGCAAACCACCGCAAACCACCGCAAACCAGCCTGTCATTATCGGCCCGGGTAGCCCGCCCTCGAAACAGGTCTAGCGTCACGGAAGATAGCCCGCTTTGAGAAAAGGCTGCAGGGGAGTCGGTCCTGCCAGGACAGTGACATTGCTCGTGACGTCACGGTGACGTCGTTGGGAGTGGTCGTGGATGGCCGCACGGCAGCACGCGCTGCCGTCAGGATGCCCGCTGGCGCCCCTAGGCCGGGTTTTCCGCCGGGCCTCTGATTTACCTGTTCTCGAGCATTGCCCGGTATGTGTGATAGGGCTTGATAAGTCTGATAGCAGGTGATTTTGCGATACTGAGAGAGCTTCGTTTGTCTTCGGGACTGAGTGAGAGAGCCTCGTTTGCCTTCGGGACTTAGTGAGAGAGCTTTGTTGCCTTCGGGACTGAGTGAGAGAGCCTCGTTTGCCTTCGGGACTGAGTGAGAGAGCCTCGTTGCCTCCGAGGCTAAGAATGGTGTGACCACTTGTTGCGAAATGCGTCGTCCGTGATTTCTACGCCGAACTCCCGGGAGGGTTTAAGGGCAGTTCGATGAACCAACGCGCGAAGTCATCACTACCCACTCACTTTTGAAGCCGGTCTTTGGCACTCTGAGTACTGAATAATGCAGCGTTAAAATGAGCGTTCGTTTCTCATTCTGGTGGAATACATCTGAGTCGTAGAGTCCAGAAACGATAACACTGACTAGAGCTTCAAATATTAATCATCAAACGATTTTGGAATGTTACGACCGTGGCCCTACCACGAACCAATCTCCACGCAGCGGCAGTGCGCTGACGCATCGAATCGGGCCTCTCAGCGCGAGCCTGAACGTCATCTGTATGCCCGTTGGCACTCCGAGCAGCGCGGCATAATCTGGCTGGCCTCTGACCTCGTCCACATCCACATCCTCACGTCCACATCGTGCGGAGCGCGCGCACGATTAGTACCCCGATCACCTGTCTGACAGGTGATGCCGCCGAGCAGCCTTGGCGGCGAGGCTGTGTCGGACACGTACAGCACCGGTTGTTCTGGTCCTCGCCTTGTTATTAATGCCGTCTGCGAATGCACCGCTTACGGGAGTCGGCGCGCACGATCTCCGGACTCGCGGACGTCGTCCTTGAAAGAAGCCGGAGTTTGTTGATATCCTCCGTGCATTTGACGTTCGTCTGGCGCTCGGTAACGACGGGAGCGGGAGGTTTGCCAATGATAGTCGTGACCCTCGGTCAGGGCGTCCGGAGCCGAAGTCGCCCATGCCTTAGCAAGCAGGTCCAGGACGGACTGGACGGCGGCTCACTCCCTGTGGTCGTTGCGAGATTCTTATTTTTGACCCGTATAGGTACTGAATGCACACAATGAGCTTGTGTGAGTCTATGCACTTTTACCCGTGGAGGAACTATGCCGTGGTCTCGGCGCTCCCGATAAAAGACGGTATGTTTGATCTGTCTAGGTATTGCGTCGACTGACCGTGCCGTAGAAGTTCGGTTGGGCTGCGCTTCCGCCCGCTGAGCTGATCGTGGCCCCACCTGCTGGAAAACAGGGCGATAAAACACACGTGGCGACTATTGCCTGTCAACACTGGGTACAGGAATCTTATCGCATCAGCAATCTACGCCGCTTACACCAAGTCACGGCGGCTGTTAAGAGATAGGCAGCATTTAGGTGGCTCTGCAACATGCGCTATAAAACGTTTTTCAAAAGTTTGATTTCTTCCGCCTTTTTTCGCACTCAGTTTGACAGTTCCCGGATATCAAAATTCTACCATCAATAGGGCCCCAAACGCATTCCATAGCAGTCCCGTCCTTCCGCGAACGCGCATACATGCCGATCCAGGGCGATTGTGAAACTACGAGAAGTTATCAAATTCCCATCTTCGTCTCCTCCGCCCGGTGCGTATCGACCGGTCCCAGTCATGTGCGACGCTCACTTCCGATGGCAGCGCCGCCACACGCCTCTCCCCGTATCACCGGCCGCCGCGATCATTATCAGCTCGCTCAGCTGACCGCCGCCGACCGCATGACCGCGACGTCTCCGAGGTTAAGACGCGGCGCTGATTAGATAACCCCGGCGGCCGCAGAGGGGATGGGACACCGGGAGGACGGCGCAGGACCGGTCTCGGCTCAGCACAAGGCCGACGCGCGGCGCGGCGCGAGCACGCGCGGCGCACGACGCCGCCGGAGACGGCGCCTCACGCCTGGCCGGCGAGAGGCCAATAGGCGGAAGTGGGTGTGGTCGGGCGGGCGGTGCGCGCGGAAGTGCGGCGGAGGGCGAGGAGGACCGGCCCGCGGGGAGGACCTGTCCGGAGAGGAGACGTCCGGTCGCGCCAGTCGCGCCGCGTGTCCAGAGGGAGGCGGCTGCTGAGTCCACCGAGCTGCGAAACACACGAAGCTGCGAAGCTCACGGAGCTGTGAATTGTACGGAGCTACAAAGCTCACGGAGCTGCGAAGTGCACGGAGCTGCGAAGCGGCCCACGGAGCTGCAAAGCGGCTCACGGAGCCGTGAAGCTCACGGAATTGCGAGGCAGCTCCGTGAGCTGCGAAGCGCACAGAGCTGCGCAGCTCACGGAGAGCCGCCGCCGAGCGGCGGAGCGGGCCGGCCCGTGCCTCTCGCGCCGGCGCCCGTCCTGGACGGGCCGGACGGCTGTGCGGTGTTTGTGCGGCGCTGGCACGCGCGTTAGGTCTTGTGCGGTGTTTGCTTGGCGCTGGTACGCGCGTTAAGTCCTGTGCGGTGTTTGCTTGGCGCTGGCACGCGCGTTAAGTCCTGTGCGTGGTGAGCTGAGGTCGCCGTCGCCATGTCGCCTCCCCGCCAGCCGGACGTACCGACTGGAAATGTCATCAGAGGTGAGCAGCTGCCGGAGCGAAGCGTCACGGAATTTTTAGAAAAGTTAATGCGGAGTAGATGTTTGACGCGGTAGCGGAGAGACGCAGTGGCATTGCGAAAGCTTCCGGTAGAAAGTCAACCGGAAGCCCTGACGTCACTGCAGCGGGTTCACGTAAACGTTGGCGTGGAGGATTAGTGGAGCGTCGGCGCAGAGCGTATATGAGATCCGACAAGTTACAGTCATGAAACGGGTCTGGAGTTCCCAGAAACGTGCTGTTGTCACTGACAAAGCAGGACTTTGCCGGAGATGGAGGTCATATTAATCGCGGGGACACGTCCTGGTGTACTCAGCCATTAGCCCTGCCGAAACAGAGCGGAGACTGTGGTCAGGGTGGGCCAACGGCCGCGATGGTCGTCAGGTGGAGATCGGCTTAGACAAGGGCCTGTAGAAAAACATGTGAGAAAATTTTCGGTGTGGTTTTCCGAGTTCGCCGACCGTTCTCCGAAGTACTGCGGCGCAAAAGCCGTTACCTCGAGCGTGTGGCGTCTTGGGAAATCAAAGCTGCACTGATATTGCAAGCCGTGCTCGAGTGTCGAATTATCGAAACATCGCAACTGAACCAGTGGCAGTGGCAGCGGCGTCACTGTATGTACTTTCGAGAGGCTTGAGCTCCCTCCCCTAATGCTGATCTGAGTGCCTCAACGAGACGGGCAATGAGGGAATACCGGGCAAAATAAATGCGGAGCAATTATTTCAACTATTTCTCCGCAGGGAAAAATTTAATCCACAAAATATTTCAGAACGTTGTTCTACATTGAGAACGCAAATTCAAGGCACTGAAATCTGAGTAGAATTGAGGTTTGAGGGATATGTTAGGTGAAGGGTAGGTTAGGACATAATTTTCGGCTCAGCCAAAAATGATGACCTTTTTACGTGTGTCTGTCTGGTTCACGAAGATTGTTTTTTAAAAGAAAGCCACCGCAAAATACTGTGATGTCTGAATGGAGGTGTTTGCTAACCATTTTAGAATCCAGTGGTTTCAAAACTTCTAGGTCAAACCACCAAACAGCACACGCATTCGATTTGGAGGCGTTTTGTTCTCTCTGAAATGATCTGTTACGAAAAGGTCTATTGTAAGTGTGAAACCTGAACACATGGTCTGGCTGCACAATATCAGAGTGCTGGCGCATGTCTGAGCCATTCATGGACCCGTATATGAGTCAAGGACGCATGGATGACGTCACTGGTCTCCAGCACCGGCTTCCATGGGACAAAAGCATTAGTTTCATAAGGCAAAGGCATTCACCTCATGCGGTCTTATGTAAGCTCTTATTATTGGCAGGGAATGTTGGGGTGTTGCTGCATATGCAGGTCACGGTCAGATCACTTGTTTTCTTCTTTTTTTTTGCTTCAGTTGCTCGCAGAAGATGAAACAACAAACATCCATTACTGCTGAACCACGTGCTGTAAACACGTCTTTATTGCCGCCGGTATCCCACAAAAAGATCCTAAACTTTTTGTGATTAGTGGAAATGCATGAAGCCACCGCATCAGCACAGCATGGTGTAATGCCATAAACGCGATCATCTCGCAAGACAGGCGCAGTAGGAACCTAAAACAGGGATACTTATCAAGCATATATGCCGGGATGCATAGCCCGGGAATTATAATGCAGGGGCGTCTGATTCCGTTGATTGTCTAACTAGGCATTCAAGAGATACAGGATCAGGTCATGACCTAGTTCTGCAAGGCATTTGAGCATATGTATTGCACTTAAAGGCTTATGAAGTGCAGTTGCTGATGTGGTTTTCAATACAGTTGTTGTTTTCTTATGTTCATATCTCGAATCGATGCCGGCCATAAAAACAGCACGAAATGAAGCCTACCTTTTTAACCTGTCATTTCAAAGTCAGCCTCGTGCAGATCATCAAGATGCAGCTTGCGTTATTGGTCATCATCGATCGACCAGACGGTGAATCAAGCGAGCGTATTGGTCAGTCTCCTTACTAGCCATGGTAACGTGAAGCTCACGTGCTCACACCACAGCCCCGCGCAGTACAGCACAGCCCCGCGCAGTACAGCACAGCCCTGCGCAGTACGGCACAGCCCCGTGCAGTACAGCAGAGCCCTGCGCAGTACAGCACTGCCCCGCGCAGTACAGCACAGCCCTGCGCAATACAGCACAGCCCCGCGCAGTACAGCAGAGTCCTGCGCAGTACAGCACAGCCCCGCGCAGTACAGCACAGCCCTGCGCAGTACAGTACAGCCCTGCGCAATACAGTACAGCCCAGCGCAGTACAGCACAGCCCGGTGCAGTACATTACAGCCCAGCGCAGTACAGGACAGCCCCGCGCAGTACAGCACAGCCCCGCGCAGTACAGCACAGCCCTGCGCAGTGCAGTACAGCCCAGCGCAGTACAGTACAGACCCGCGCAGTGTATTACAGCTCCGCGCAGTACAGCACAGCCCCGCGCGGTACAGCACAGCCCTGTGCAGTACAGCACAGTTCCGCGCAGTACAGCACAGCCCCGCGCAGTACAGCACAGCCCCGCGCAGTACAGTACAGCCCCGCGCAGTACAGCACAGCCCCGCGCAGTACAGCACAGCCCCGCGCAGTACAGCACAGCTCCGCGCAGTACAGTACAGCCCCGCGCAGTGTAGTACAGCCCAGCGCAGTACAACACAGCCCTGCGCAGCGCGGCAAAGCCCCGCACGAGGATGGCGAATACCCTTATTTGATTCCCTGCACCCTTCAGCGTCCAGGCAGCGTCGGGCACACCCCTCCAGTGTAACGCTCGTGACGCAAGACACCCCTCGCCGTGTGCGCCAGCGCCTGGCGCACCCTTCTCCCAGCCTGACGCTCGTGATACGACACACCTCGTCTCGTGCACCAGCGCCTGGCCCATCCATCCCCCCCCCCCCCCCAACCCAACGCTCGTGACACGAAGCCCCTCGTCTTGTGCGCCAGCGCCTCACGCTCCCCTCCAACCCGACGCTCGTGGCGCTGAACACCCATCGTCTTGTGCACTAGATCCCGGCACACCCCCTCCCCCAGCCTGACGCTCGTGACGCTGGATATCCCACGTCTTGTGCGCCAGAGCCCGGCACACCCCCTCCCCCAGCCTGACGCTCGTGACGCTGGATATCCCACGTCTTGTGCGCCAGAGCCCGGCACACCCCCTCCCCCAGCCTGACGCTCGTGACGCTGGATATCCCACGTCTTGTGCACTAGATCCCGGCACACCCACCTCCCAGCCTGACGCTCGTGACGCTGGACATGCCACGTCCCGTGCGCCGGCGCTGGGCGCCTGTGTTCTCGACGCGCCAAACCGTTATCTGCGGCCAATTGCGTGACCGTTGGGTCGGCGGGCACCGCTGAGGTTATCTATTCACCTGTTGAACCCCGGACAGCCAGGTCGAGCCACCCTGAGACCGAATCTGGGCGGGCCAACACACAGTCGGATGCGTGCAGTTGGCGCGTCCTACCGAATGGTAAACGTTGGAAAGGCGGAGACACGCTCCAAATCGCTTTTGACGCGTCCAGTTTGACCATTGTCCCTCCTGATCTTGTGTCCCATTTTGACCACGTGCACGCATTTTGACCATCGTCGGTTCGGCGCTCCGCCCTGCCGCGCGTGATGACCTTGTGTGTGTTCTGCCCGGCGCGATGACCTTGCGTGTGTTCTGCCCGGCGCGCGATGACCTTGTGTGTGTTCTGCCCGGCAGTTTTGGCGCCGATCATGGCCCCGCGCGCCAACTCTGGCCTCGAGACCCACGAGGAAGAGATAATTGGCGACTCGCCGACGTTGGAGCCATACCTGCACCGCGTCACTAACGAGACGTCAGGTGAGGAGCAGGCGCAGGCGCAGCGGACGTGCCGGAGCTCGGTGTCCCCCCCCCCCCTCTCAGCATTGCGCCTGGGTTGAGGGGCATGTTTGGAATGTTAGCGAAGTACTTGAGAATGAAATCGACGAGAGCGAAGTGTGTTTGTTTGCACTATCGTTGGTAGTCGAAACAAACGCAGCATTTGGGCTAGTCTAGTTCGGCCTCGTCTCTGCCTCCCCTTGAGTCTGTCCCTGTAAGCACGCAGCAGAGCAAGTCAGGAAACGTGTAGAATTAGTGAAATTCAAACTTGAAGTGCTGTCCCAAAGATGTGGAAACTTGGCCCTGTGGTGTGTCACCTCCGGTTTTGATACGCAATTTTGGTTGTGGACACTGCCCACTGTCACTGCTCATGTGTGCTTGGACTTGTGGCTAGGCGCTTTCAGCAACCCTTGTGTCTGAATTGCTCGACTGTGCTCGAATGATTTGCAGTTGATCCTGGCGGGGTGAGGGGGCAAGGTGTTTCTGTGTTTTAAAGTCAATTGCACAAGCTCGAAAAACATTAAAAAACTGTCTAAGGGTGCAAATCATCCACAAACCGATATTCAAAGAACATCCAAACCTCAGTCATATAAACTGCTGTCTAACGCGTCTGGTTTGTGAAATTTAACGCACCTGCTTGCATGTCAAGGATAGACCGAATGCCAGTGTACCGTACTCGTCAGCTATGATGCACATGTGTTTCGCACAGACCGCTCTGGCCAATGCCTCCAAAGCACATCAATGCGCATATTGCGCATGCGTTCGATTCTTCTTTCGTTCACTCTCTGACGTCACTTTGCGCGTGATGAGCGTTTCGCCAGCTGCTGCGCGTAAACATAAGGAGCGCGTGACCTTGATAGGAGCCTCTCGCGTGTCACGTGGGCTGCCACTGATCTTGCCTGCCAGATTATACGGTCATGCTTCGGAGCGACACCGAGATAAGATTCGATTCTTGGCAGCCTCATGCCTTCGTGTCGTGATGCAGGCAAGGTCTGTAGGTTGTCTTCCGTATGGTCGGGCTGTTTGGTTTTCCCTTGTTTACGTCACCAGTGAAATGATACGTAATAGTCGCCTTCACGAAGGATTACTGCACGGAGTGACTTCCCGAAAAGAAGCATTTCTGCACGAAATGCGCTAATGCTTGGAAATTTCTAGCAGCGTCGGGCAGTGCCAGGCATGTAAATTTGTCCCCGCTGTCATCTTGAGTAAGAAATCTTAATGTAACTCGATAAGGTTGTGTCGCCAGAGGCGTGAAGCAATCATTATTAATGCGTGGACTGATTGGCTTTCAATGATACTTGTTATTGTGTTTAGCAAAAATAGCCGAAAGGGACTGCAAAGTGTCTCGAAGCTGCCTCAAATACTGACGAAGCGAAGACAGCAGAACAGGTCTGTGGGTTGAAAAGTACATGCGACCGCAAGACGGCAAAAACAGGCCCTAAGGTGAAAAATACTGGCAAATCCAAGACGCCAGAAAGACTTGCCAAAGGTGTAGAACAAAAAACGCTGAACGTCCGTATCATTCGGCTTAGTTTTCCATATAACTGTACAACATTCCGAACTTGCCTCTCCCCCCCCCCCCCCCCCCCTCCCTCTCCCTTGCTTCGATGTTTAACCTGCCCTCGCGCTGAAGTGCGCCTCTTTTCCATACGAAAAGACCTGATGTTGTCCCCTGGACATGACTTTCGACTCCGTGACTTATAACATCGTGAGTGGGCTTTCGGGCGTTCGTTGTCACTCAGATAGGCTTTGCTCATAGCCATGTGTCGACAATTCTGTGAAATCTGTAGATTGTCCCTGCGACAGAAACGTACGAGAAAGATAGCGAAACGCGACCGCTATCTTGCATTCGGAATGCTACCTTCATGACGTGCTGCAGCTGCAGATACAGCTTTGTGTGTCCATATTACACACAAGTCCCACGGAAGTGTCCACCTGATCTCCCGAAGTTCGCCAGTCTTTGGTCCCTTCTTGATTTGCCTTTCGTGTATTTGTTTTTCCTTTCAACAATGGCGATTCGTGCATCGAGCGTTTAATGCCTTATGTGATGCCTTAATGCCTTATCCCAATGATGCTCATCTGAACACTTTCTCTGTTTCAGAACACGAATACGATGAGCTCGGCAAAGAAGAAGGTAAGACCAAACGCATCGGGCCCCGTCCTTAGATTTGAAGACAGCTTGCCGAATCCTTGTGTCTTTCCTCCTTATCCCATGTTGTCTTCTAAAGAATGCCTCGCCATTCAACTCAAGTGTAGTTTTGAAATAGAATTTCGGGCCGCTAGGTTGGATGAAGTCCTGGGACTAAAGATCGCATTAAGCAGTTTATATCGTGCGAACCCTGACAGCACAATCCGATGGTGAAACTCCAGGTCAATCGCATGAATTCTGCAGGCGAAGCTATAATCTGCCCCAATGCTTGGCTCGGTCACTTCCATCCTGTGACGTCACGTGACCCCAAGCGCTGGTCACTACCACCGGCCTGCAGTCCCTCCTAGGCAGGGGTAAACAGTGAGTGCCACCGACCCCCAACCCCCCCCCCCTCACCCGCATCCCCAACCCAACGGTCGAGAAAATCCGAAGTCAGGCGCTTCCAGTCAACTGAGCTACGCGAACCGTCTATTAAGATGATTGCTTTAATGATCGTTAATTCATGTAAATGCTTGGCCAAACTAGCGTGCGAGTAGTTTCTACCAAATAGCTCGCGTCCTCATTCCTGTGGAGTTTCTTGTGGCGCTGGCTTGTGGTTATCTAGTGGCACGGGTATTTGGGGACACAAATTAGTATGTGCGACGCGCCCGCGTGTTATTTATGTGCGCCTCATTTGTTTTTCCCACTTTTAAATTGCATTTCACCATCCCGCATCAGCGTACTTGCTTCGCTAGTGATGTAGCTCGGCTCCTCATCGACGCCAACAAAGAGGTCGTCGCCGTTATAAGCCCGCACTCAGCAGCTGCCCCGTAATGAAATACACAATGCGGTCAACAATCGAAAGTGAATCTATTATGAGGTTCAGGTCCCACCTGCTTCCGTGTCCAACAAGACCATAAACCAGGCTGAGGGATGTGTTCAGTCAGGATAATAGATCAGCTCGAGTTGTAAGTCAGGCTAATGGTAATGAATGCATGTGCGGCGTTTATCATGCAAAGGAAGGTTTTGTGAATGGAGGCACTGACAGCCCTCTTTCTCTTCCACGACTTTCTCCATGGCTCGTAGCGGAATCCCCATGAAGGTGGTTGTGTCATGTGGTGCATTTAGTTCACTAGTGAACTAGTTCAGTTTAGCACTGGTTCAAAAAGCTTGTTTCTAATGCTGACCGCTGCCTGAATCGCAAACATTATGAGGAGGCAGTTACCCCGTTCCATTTTGAAGTGCGCCGGTTCGATGTAACACTTAAAGGAATATCCGCTCGTGGTGGTATAGTATTGGGCGGGTGAAACCCGATAAGCCGAACCAATGCCCCGGACTGTCGGACCGAAACTGCAAGACACCACAATGTACCGTGACGTCATATGTGATATGCTGTGATGTCATAAGCTGAGGTGCCGCAAGACGAAGTGACACCGACCCTCTTGACCGGCAGAGGGACAGGAGAAGATTTCCATTATCGTGGGAATCGTCGTGGCTCTCCTGCTGGCCATCCTCATCGTCATCGTCTGCGCTGCTGTCATAAGGTGGGTGACGTCACTGCTGTCTCGCGCTCAGATGTCATGAGGTGGGTGACGTCACTGCTGTTTCGCGCTCAGATGTGATGAGGTAGGTGACGTCACTGCTGTGTGGCGCTCAGTTGCGATCTGCCATTCGTTTGGGCATGGGCCGATATCCTGCCGGTGTTGTCTTTAGACGCTGCTGGAACATCCAGAAATTGGGAGAAATCAGCGATTACAGAGAAATCGCATCCGATCCTTTTTTCCGATGATGCAGCGGTTCGGCTGAAAGACGTCGCTATCATCCCGTAACGGGCTGTTGTATCTATTGATCCCCCGGGACATACGCGCGCTTTTTAAATCAGAGCCTCCTTTCCATCCCGACTCCGATGCTATCAGTCACAGGCTTACAAATCTCCGCCTCACATATGTCGATTCGGCTGGACTTTTGAGCGGCGGTAATGCTTCGCCGCGTTTTCCCTCCATTTCCGGTCGGCCGACGGCCCGTATAACAGCCTGGATTGCAAAATGGCGCGGAAAGAACGGCCGGCGCGCCAACAAAAGAAAGAGTCGGAAGAGTCGACGCGGACCCCCGGCGCGACATCGCGAATGTCGGGAGCACCGCCTGGCGGTGGGGTCGTTTACGACACAGGTGCCCGTGTGACGCGCGTCGAAGAGATCGTCACATAAAACACGCAGATAGCAGACGCGGCGCCGGCCCGGTCTGTTGGGTCCGTTACCCTCGTGCGCCAGGTGAAAGCGCCAGCAGGACGCGGTGATGGACGTGGAGGGTAACCCTGCAGGACTCCGACGAGTTCCGTCGGGAGATGGCGGTACCGACCTCGTGGCTGAATTCGGAATCTGCCGGACACGACGCTACTCTGTAGCCGGCAGTCGGTAGATGCGGCACTCTTACAGCCAAACCGATGAGACAGCTCGTTACTCGAGACAGAACGGTCCAGTGGCGAGTAGCCGCACCGCCTTCGGCGCAAAAACTAGCACCGGTAACTGGGGGGGGGGGGGGGGAGGGGGGGGACTGGCACGAGCCGGCCGTGGTTCTGACCTGGCGTAACCGGGGCAGCCTGTCGCGCGTTTGTCCAGCATCGTTTGTTGTCTGGTGTTGATGGGTGCTGAGTTTGAAAGCAGAAACTGCTCAAGCGGTTTCAGCTTGGCACTCAAGGAATTGTTTGATTGGAGATTCAAATCAAAAAAAGATTGGAGAATCAAATTTTAAAAAATTGTTTCTGGAGGCTCAGATCGGCCTTGTTCTTTCCTGCGGACTTGCTTTTCTTTCTTGCGTATCAGCATGGTTTCAGCTTCCAAGAGCGCTTAAGAAAAGCTTTCCTTCCATACTCATCCGCGTCGTTCCGAGGTGGCTCTCACTCCCAGAATTATGTTTCACCTGGAGACAGCCCATGAACCTGGTTTTCTGCCATTAGACACACGTACGCATCCTGAAAGAGAAGTACTGCGCCCTGTCTAACAGCTCGGGAGGTCTATTAGACACACGTACGCATCCTGAAAGAGAAGCCTGCGCCCTGTCTAACAGCTCGATATTTCTATTAGACACACGTACGCATCCTGAAAGAGGAGTATTGCCCCCTGTCTAACAGCTCGAGAGGTCTATAAGACACATGTACGCATTCTGAAAAAGGAGCATTGCGCCCTGTCTAACAGCTCGAGAGGTATATTCCGTCTCTCAGACACAATCCTCATCCGACTGACTTTCCGGACCAGTCAACCACCTCCTACTCCCCTGCACACAGATCTCGGACCAATCAATCACTCCCGTTCTCTCTCGCAGACAGATTTCGGATCAATCAACCACCTTCTACGCCCCCGCACACAGATCTCGGACCAATCAGTTACCCCCTACTCCCTTGCAGACAGATCTCTGACCAATAAACTGCCCTCCCCTCCCTCGCAGACAGATCTCGTCCGTTTGCAGCCGGGCCACTCCGAACGTACCCCTGCTGACCCGACCTGGTTCGCCCAGCCACCCAGCCCGTCCCCGTCCCCAGGCCGGGCGGATGGGGACCGCCGCTCGCCCAGCGCCCCTCCCCCCTCCCGCTCCTTCCTGAGGGGCGCTGTAAGACCTCACCCACGAGTGGGCTGGCACCAGCTCACCTTCGGACTCGGGCGAGGCCGGGCCCGTGCCTCAGCCCGGTCTGCAGGCGCCGACCCCACCCTCCAGCGGACCGGTGCTGTCGCCACTTCCTGGACCGCGGCCCTTTGACAGCGTCCGCCTGTTTGTGTTCTCTCGGAGGCGAACGGTCGTGTCTCGAGGTGTGTCCCTTTGTCCAGGTGGAACCGTTAGGCGTGTGCGGTGCAGAACCTGATGGCAAAGCACGTTTTTCTGCGATTGTGTACATACAAGCTGAAGATTCAGCGTATCTATATCTTGAAAAACGGGACTCTTGCTTGGGGCTTGTTTTTCAGTCAGCTCGTGCTTAAGCAGTGAAAAGGCCGTCATCTGTTTGTTTTCCTTTTTGTTTGTCATTTTATTTAAGTGACCGCCTACAGCTGCCGGAAGGGAAACGCCTATCTCATGACGTCAGTTGGCTGCATGCACTCACCATGACGCTTGCAGCAATTACCGTGCAGTATCCCTGATGCCACAGGGCTATCGATACGTGGATGAACGTCCAGAAAATTGTCCTATGCATAGGGTCGGATATCGCTGACTGGAGCCAGTGTAATGTCTCTTTTTTACCGAAGCGCCTGCAAATTTCTACGTGCAACACCGAAACTTGTATCTCCAAAAGCTTGTAAAATCTAAGGTACGGAAGAAAGCCTCCTCGCTCGCTCAGAGATTCAGATCTTCCCTATCCCCATGACAGGAGGCCGGGGGTGTAAGCTCTCCGTGGCAGGCAGGAGGATGACCACCACTAACACTCCCTCTCTGCGCCCGGCAGGAAGATGACCACACTGACACCTCCCTCTCTGCGCCCGGTGAAGATGACCACCACTGACACCTCCCTCTTGCGACCGGCAGGAAGATGACCACCACTGGCACCTCCTCTCTGCGCCCGGCAGGAGGATGACCACCTCTAACACCTCCCTCCCTGCGACCGGCAGGAAGATGACCACCACTGACACCTCCCCTCTCTGCGACCGGCAGGAAGATGACCACCACTGACACCTCCCTCTCTGCGCCCGGCAGGAGGATGACCACCTCTAACACCTCCCTCCCTGCGACCGGCAGGAAGATGACCACCACTGACACCTCCCTCTCTGCGCCCGGCAGGAGGATGACCACCTCTAACACCTCCCTCCCTGCGACCGGCAGGAAGATGACCACCACTGACACCTCCCTCTCTGCGCCCGGCAGGAGGATGACCACCTCTAACACCTCCCTCCCCGCGACCGGCAGGAGGATGACCACCAGACCGCCACTGACACCTCCCTCTCTGCGACCGGCAGGAAGATGACCACCACTGACACCTCCCCTCTCTGCGACCGGCAGGAAGATGACCACCACTGACACCTCCCTCTTTGCGACCGGCAGGAGGATGACCACCACTGGCACCTCCCTCTCCGCGCCCGACAGGAGGATGACCACCACTAATATCTCCCTCTCTGCGACCGGTAGGCGGCTGACCACCACTAACACCGCCCTCCTCTGCGAAGGGTAGGAGGACGACCACCACTAACACCTCCCTCTCCATGACCGGCAGGAGGATGACCACCACTAACACCTCCCTCTCCATGACCGGCAGGAGGATGCGGCGTCGTGGCGCCCGGCTACCGGCGTCGGCCGAGGACGGCAAGGGCATCCGACTGAAGCGCGTCAAGCCCGGCAAGGGCATGGTGGACGACTACGACGGCGAGCCGAGTCCGCTCGACGACCTGCACGACCCCTTCCTCCAGGTGAGGCTGCCCCGCCTGACACCGGCAGCCGTCGAGCACTGCAGCGTCCCGCGGTGCCGCGGCGGACAGGGTCTGCGTCGACAGCCGTGCTGGAGCGGAGCGTCGGTACTACGTGCCGCTTCGCATGCTGCTTCACAACGCGAAGCGGCACCCAGACCAGTGCGGGTGGACAGCGCACCCAGCCATGACCCTGGCCAGGGTGCTAGCTGTCACTGCTGCGCCGCGTTCGCCGCTGCCGGCCCTTGAGGCACGCGCGAGATGAGGACCGAAACAGCATCACGGGACCACCGACAGCCTCTTTATCCCGTATTTGTCGTGGATGATCGGCCTCTCGGTGCAGAGGATGCCTTTTCATTGCGTGCCCGTTGAATAACAGTGTGTAGCGTTTTACTTCCTCGTTGCTGAACAGCTTTGCTCTGTGCGATCTCTCTCAGACCTCTTCAACCTACATTGTATTTATGCTCTCCATCCATGTCCACTTCTGACGTTCCCTCGCCTCCACTTGAATTCACCCATTAGGACGGATTCGTTAAAAGCCGCCGAGGCGTGTGCATGTACGGATATGTGCAGTCCAATGTAGTAAACTGTTCCCGATGCCAAGCCGTATCGTGCATAATGGAGCGATGCAGCCCACAGGTGTAGCGGTGCACAACAGAACTTCGAACACCGTCATCCGACTGTTACTGATTTTGGGAGGGGAGAAGCTTAAAAATGCAGAATTAAACGTAGGATGACAGTTGATTCGGTACTATCGGCGCTCCGCCAGTTCTCTCAAGCCAGCGTTTCCCGTAAATTTTCGAGCACTTGGAGACGTGGTGTTTTCCATCTTCAGAGGCCTTTGTGGCCGCCGTCCAGTGCTGGGACCGTTGTGCTAGCCCTCCTTTCTGTTTCAGTTTGTCTACATTCCACCCAACCGAGGACTGAAGCTGTGGAAGGGCCGGCTCAAGATCATGACTAGGCACGTCAAGAGGTCGCTGCTGCACAAACAGATAGAGATCCACGGCTGCACTATCCCAGAACACTGTAAAGCGCAACTCAAGCGGATATACGTGTACTGACGGACGGCGATGTGCTGAACTCTAGCCTTGCGCGGGCGTCGTTAGATGTCTCTACCGCGCCAGCGCAGTGGTGAAGTGTTTGAACGGGGGGAGCGCGCTGATTGGTCGAGCTGGTCTCGCGTCTGGAAGAAACTGGTTTTCTCCCAGCCCAACCGGAAACAGCGGCTCCCTCCATAGGCTGTGCAACGCGGGTACAAACGGACCCCGGCGACGGAGGGAGCACCGGCCAGCCCGGCGTAGAACGAACTCGAACTCCCCTGCTTGCGGCGCAGAGCGTGGCCGCCGCAACATGCGCCAGGCGTGCGCGCGCCGCCCGGGTGGGCTGGAACGCGGCGGCTGCTGGGCGCAGCTCCAGTGCTTCGGTCGACAGCGGAGTGCCGTTCCCCGCCCGAGCGATGGCGCGTTATCGTGGGTGGTGAGCGTGCTGCCTTATCTACTACAGCGCTGCCACGTCAAGCTGGCTTCTGTGCTGTTTTACTTTGATTTGATGATATTCTGCTCCAAAACGTGCTCGGTTTTTTAGAAGCTGTAATTTCCATTGTGTCGGTGCATGCACTGAAATCGACGAGCTACTTCGTGAACGTGCCTTAGCGACTGAGTGCGGTGCGTTATGAACTACATCCATACGCGTGTATCAGTTGAAATGGCTCCTAAATTGCTCGATAAAAGCCTCAGCATTTCCACGTGCACTTGCACATGGAAATGACGGTGACGGTGACGTCACATCCATGACGTCACATCAATGTCGTCACTTTCGTCCAGCTGTAGTTTCGGGCTGAGTCGGTGCGCACATAATCCCTTGACTGTGTGTGTGCATGTGCTCCCTGCTCGATCGCATGTTAAACTAACATAACGGATGTAAGCCCACCTGTCGCACCTATCGTATAGCCAGAACGTGCCATGTATGGTCGGATTCTTAGGAGCTGTGTTATCCCACGAGCCATTTATTGCGTGATGAAGGAACTATTGTGCGAATGGCCACGTCGCCGACAGATGTAGGATTTTTTCAATGGGTTAGATCGGACTAAGCACAAACGGTGCCTTATCAACGCTAGTGTGGTCACTGCCTGAGGGTTAAGAATCTGAAGCGTTTTTTCCTTATAGGAAGATTCCTGCATAACAACGCGTGAGACTAAACACTTCTTGACAGAAATCTTCATGCAGGTTTCGTCAAGTGAACTGCAACGCTAAATTTTTCGACCGCATTTTATTTCCACATTTGCGTCAGAAACGTTCAATGTATTTATTCACAGGTTATTTATTTTACGTATGCATAGCTTTAAACTGCTCTAATTCAATGAGTCATTACGTAGACCTCCACTTTCATTAATTTTCAGTCCTGCACCGCTGTGCCCAAAAAGATGGTGGCATGAATTTTTGTGTAAAATGAGAAGCAACAAGTCATAACATTCTGTTTCGTGGCATTGATGCTGTGAAACTCGATCAAACATGCACTTTACAGCTGTAACTTTGCCAGCCACTGCTTTAAGGTTAAAGGTGTAGCTAACAAAGGCTGGAATGAACTTCTCGTCGCCTCTCACCCTCTTGGAGAAAGACACCGGTTTTGATGACAACTGGGTCTTTTGAGCAACAGCGGTGGACATTGTCCCACGGGGTAGTCGCACTGCTGCTTTACATATACTTATGCGTGCCGAATTAGCTGTTTTTGGTACATATCATGCCCTCACTGACGCCAGGTGGCGTATCAGAAGCCTTGTCGCGCACCGCAGCACCCGCGAACCGTGTCGCTCCCCCATGCGCGTACCTGATCCGGTTGTGTGTCAGATGACAAGCGACCGCCTGGCGCTGAAGTCCGACGGCGCGCCGAACGATGAAATCGTGTGCATGGCAGAGCTAAGCGCGTGACGTCTGCTGCTAACGTCCTCTGATGAGTCTGGAGCATTGGCTTGGCGGCGAGCATTCCGCTAGTTGACGGATTGCGAGCAGAAATTGCTCCGGCGCGTCGTGCGGCGTGACGCGACCGGCCCGTTGTGTCTAATGTCCAAGCGCTGGGTGTCTGTGCTGGTTCACACGCTGGGACCAGCCATCCTTGAGGTCCTGTGATGTCGCTGCCTGCCTCGGGCCCGTCACGTGCTAACGAACGGATGGTTTTCCCCTCAAGCCCCCCCCCCCCCCGTCCTCCTGTCCTTTCTGCTGCGTTCCGGTGGAATCTTTGTACTTGCCGCCAGGGTACGCCACTGGTGTGGAGGACGACTGTAGTGTTGTCCGGCAGCAATAAATGAATAGCTAGAACCGAGCTTTTTGTGGGAAGAGACTGTGCGTGCGGCTGAATGAGACGGAAGAAGGAGAATGTCTCGCTACCTGACGCCTGGTCGGGGTTCAAGAGTGTAGTGATGCAGGGTGCCGCCGCCGGGGCGCCTGTCCTTCTGCGCTGCGCCGGCCGCCTGACACGTGACAAACTGCTCCAGCGTGCCGCTTAGCAGAAGTTTGCTTGTAGCCAGCGAACCGGCACGAAACGTCCTGCCAGCAAGCGGGTCGAATGGGGCGAACGCTATCAAATGCAACTCAGAGCCATGCGACAGGAACGGGGTCACTCGCGAAGTGGGAGCGAGCGGACTTGCTCAAGTCACCGCTTTTGCGCCTTGGCCAGCTGCAATGAGCGTCACGTAAAAATAAGGAATAACTGAAATAGCTATAGAATTAGGTTATAAAATGAAATTCAAGAATAAAACACGATAAAATCGCCATACATCGCATAAAATGTGAGAGCATGTCAAGGCACTGCTTAGTGTGAACGTGAGTACTTTGCATACAACAAGCGTTGTGCAGTGTGAGCTCTGATCCCAGAAATCCATCCATCCAAAAAGTTCGGATTAAACCTTTAAAAATTCAGTTGGAACGAAAGAACTACTGTTTGATTAGACGGTTGGGTCAAGAAAGACGACGTCAGCTCTGGATTGTGGTTAGTTGCCCTGATCACCAGAATTATCTGCAATGTAGACCAGTTTTGGCTATTTTTTGTTACTGACTAGCTTTCCGAGCTGACTAGCTACACCGTGAACTCCAAAGGCGTTGCGAGAGACTTAAAGAGGTCTTGTAGTAACTTATTTTACCTTTTTGTGGCAGAAATAAATGTTTTCATTGGAAATTCTGAAACACTTTGAAGCTACAAAACAGGCGCACATCAAGTATGCATTGGAGATGAATGAAGTCACTCAAGCCGTTCTCGGTAAGTAACATGAGTTTGGTTTGATATCAGCTGCTTGGCCAATTTTGGTGCCGTTTGGCCTCGGTGCCGGCCTGCTGTGTTCCCGCCCTGTTACCCAATCCCGAAACCGTTCTCTGTAGCTCTGAAACGCCGCCAGCTGGCTGGCGGAGGGCGTACATTGGTTTATGAGCTGCAAGAAAGGTGATGGAAGGGTTAGTTAGAGTGGGGGTGGGGTGGGGGTGGGGGTGGGTAGGTAGAGGTGGGGTGGGGGTGCAGTCAGGGTCCACGGGGTTGGTGTTTGGGATAAGCAATCAAATCGTAATTGCTGGAATGCCTAGGCCACTACCGCTCCCCGCTATGAAACGGGTCCCCAGTTAGTCCGTGTGTCCCCAGCTTAATTCCGCGATGGAATGTGCTTTCCGTTATGGTTGCTGCACCCTGTTACCATATTCAGGCAGTTTGCTAAGCGGTCTTTCTCCGGCAGCGTTCGTCCGACGGCACCCTCTATGAGACAGACGCCATCTACAGGACCTGCCACATTCGGAAGGTGGCGCCCTCTACAAGACAGGCGTCATCTACAGGACCTCTGCATTCGGAAGGTGGCGCCCTCGTCGAACGGTTTGGTTGTTTGGAATGGAGCTCTCTGTGTCGGTCACGATCATTCATGACGGTAAGTGGTCCGAAGGTTGTGCAGGGACCGACAATGAGAGCCTCTATGTCGATCATGCGCCACCAGTACCGAACAGTCGGCTCCGTGTCGATCTGACCCTTGAGGGACATTTCCTAAGCAGGGACAAGGCCGGTGTCCGATACGTGCACTGGTGGGGACCTCTAAAACACTAAGAATCACCAATGAGCGGCCAGGGCCCACTGTGCCTAACAAGGGTTCCTGGGTCTGCCAGAAACCCCGAGTCGGCCAACTGAACAGTCAGCCAGAGGGCTTCGCGCGTTGGTCTGGGTCCTATGAGATTGAAGGGAAATGTGAGCACTTGTCATGAGAGCCCACAATGAGGCAGTGAAAATGACCCGCGCCAGTTAGCGACTCCTGTACTAAATGGACCCTCCACCCAATTCAGCTAGGGATTGGTCAAGCCGAACTGCAGCTGCCGTGTCAGTTATTGGGCCCATGTGGCGAGAAGGGATCTTTTGCGCCAATAAAGGTTCCTTCGTCGATCCGGGGCCACCTTCGCGAGCTGGAAGACCTCCCACGTTAGGGAGCGGACCAATGTATCATGCATCCCTCTGAGGGCATCCAGATGACCAGGTTAAGCCTGTTTGTGCCCCCGGGATTGTAGCCGGTGGTTACCCCGGGCTGGGATGGGTATCCCTTCAGCCCTGACAGGGAAAACAAATGCACTCTCTCGTGCTCTACCCACGAAACCCCCTGCCAGAAGAAGGCAAGGGAACTCCTCAGTGGTCAATAGGGTGGGCAGAAATGAGGTCAAAAGTAGCAGAGGATGTCCCTTATTTGCCCGAGAATGTCCATACTATTAAATGACAGACTAGCGAAGCGAATAACATTCCAGGATTTGGAGCCAGCGCGCTCGTTATGTCGGGGCAAGAGCACCCGCGATCGGGAGTGCAGTCTCCGTCAAACTGAGCGGAGATGGCAACTGCAGGCAACACCAGGTGAAGAACGCCGGGTGTGAGAGAACGACCGGTGTAAAATTATTCTTGCGGAAGAATTTCGAAATCAGTTGGCAGTGCTCAAAGATTTTACTTATACAATTTCACCTGGACAAATTTGAGGCTGTGTTCTGAACAGATTGACACTTGCAGCAACACAAAAAAATAGAGATTTCAACTTTGCTTTTCCAGTTCCTGGCCCAACACCGCGTTCAGCTCCTCAGCTCTTATTTGCGATGCTGTAAATGCTAATCCGTTGCTGCCATCAATCTGAGGCCACACCCGAAATTTTAGGCGTACCTTACGCCCGGAATGCCCTCTTTACGTACGGATCGATGCCCTACAGCGTTTACGAGTATCTTTTTTCAGATACTCTTTTTCCAGTTACTCAGATCCCTTTTCCCCATCGTTTTTCTCCGACCATAGGCGTAGGAACGTTTCACAAAGTGGGGGCGGGGCAAGCTCAGTGTGTACTTAAGGAATTTTTTCTGGAAAGCGAGCCCGATGACCAGGGGAGGGGGGTAGGGATAGAGGCTGCTATCGCCCTTTATTCAAATATCATGGCTGCTTTGCTAGATATGCATATAGAGCTGTTTATCACTGGTGCTCAACCCTGCCTGTTCGACGCATCTGTCATTTGGCAAATAAGGCTATCCAGCTTCCCTAGATTATTTGTCCATTTTAACATTGTCTTTCCCGGGAGACGAAATTCCACGAGCAGGTAGGTATTTTAGGTCATTACGGAAGCATTTGCCTCCACAGTGTAGATGCCAAAATACGGCATGGATTTAGGCTGGTGATAATTTTTAAAGTGGATTGATGTCTCACATTGCGCCAGGCTTTTCATGCGCCTTCATGTCGCCGGCTGCTTTTCAAGAAATAAGACTCGGTGCAGCATTTTAGGCGGAAACACATTCGGCAGCTTGGAACTGCTAGAAACAATGTGGCAAAATCCATAAAACTGGAGATTATCTTTTAAGAATCAAGCCACATAATAAGGCCCATCTGTCATATATTCCTTATCTGGGCCCTGCTCCTGTCCGCCGTCGGTGGTCACTGCCCTGGCCCAGATGTCTCCCGCATGACTGACTCCGAGCTGATCGTGCGGCTACACTTTTTGCATGCTTTTGGATCAGCGTTACTTCTGCATGGTGTATGAAACGTATGTTGGACACCTGCAACAGTACTTTTTCCGAATTATGTTCCCTTATACTACACCACCGCAGAAAAAAAGCCTCCGGAAAGCTGTCTGCCTGAAGTATGGATTGGCCCAACGGACACTTCATTGCCCATCATGCAACTTACGCGACTTGATCTGCTTTTGTGTGTAGGCAGGGGCGTAGCCAGAGCCTTTCCAGGGGAACACGGGGTTGACAAAAGCTCATCTTATGGGGATCCCCCCCCCCCCCAAAAAGAAACCCTGGATATGGCTTACTTGTTAGCAAGTGACAGGGTTTTCT